GCATGCCGTGTAACGACATGCCAGCGAATGCGCACCTCACCCGATCCCTCACAACCTCGGCGACAGCTACGCCTGGATCATTTTGATCCACTCCTGCGCCGCACTTGGCTGCTAAGCTACATTGCACGGCGGCGGTTAAGCGAGCAGGGGGCGGGCGACGGCGGGAGGGGGGGCGGACGGACGACGGCGAACGGTCGCCTACGACCACCACCAGCGACAGCGACCCTTCCACGACAGACGCCTTTCAGTCGCTTCGTTTTGCGTCGCGTCCTCGTCGCGCTGTCGTCGCGTAGCATCCTCCTCTTTTGTCGCTGATGAATGACAACTTTGCGGTGATCGATTACGGACGATGTGGGACTGGATCGACGACTTGATGTTCTGCTTCAGCACTCTTACGCTGGACATCCGCGCAGGTATTTTCTAATGAAGTAGATCGTGACCATTACCTCCTTATTAGCCAGTCGGCAATGTCTACGATTGTGTAGTCTAATGCGCATGTCTTGCCCCTACAGTTCGCTTTATACCCTCTGACAGCTGTCTGAAAAGATATTAGCTTCTGAAGTCGCTTCTATAACAATTTACTTTTTATGCGCTATCAATTAGTAAACCATCGTGTTGCTACGCTATTCGATTCTCTCGTAGCCCAAGTCGCGTTATCGTGTCGATGAAGGCTTTAAGTCGAAATGGTTAAGCGGATGAGATGTGGCCTGTCTAACACTTACTTTACTACTACGAATATGCCAATACTAGGTCGTTCTAGACCGCCGTTCGTATTTAATATTCGTTTGTTCAATATTCGTGAATCTAAACTAGTTAAATAATAACTGAACAGTATGTTTCAAGTTAAATAAAGTATTTGGGAACTTTATACTGAACTTCGACTCAGTTAAACCATCTACGTAAGGCACGTTTTATTTCAGTGATTGCATATGTTCTGCTACATGCTGAGGTTCAATAGCGAAACGTACATAATCGGATAAAAATTGTTGGTTCTACGCTCGGACAGCCTATGTCTTATGGCAAATGTGTCGTAAATATTGGAATGCAGGGGATATCACAAACCTGAAGTGTTCTGCAGCTGTAACCAACTCAAGATTGTGATCGCAGTAGAAGCCAACTTATTTCAATCAGAACCATAAATTAAAAATCAAATCTTATAATGTGGTAACGAACGAAGATGCAGCATCAAACGATGAGTAACTTCTCCAGACTTTACTTCACAGGTCTTCTACTACCTTGAAATGCGAGATCCCTGCGGATCTTGCTTAAAATTCAACAGCGGCCACGCAATTTTCTCGAATTCGTCTTATGCAGATTTCGACAACTTGGTAAATAATGGAAGTGCACACATAAATTCATTACGCTTCCTTCTTCTCGATCCATAGTATGAGTCATGGAAACACTTTTGAAAAGCTGCTTTGTCAACTTCTAATAAAGCTTTTGTTGAAAATGGATGAAGGAGTCTGTTCGAGAACGTTGTAATCACTGTCTGACGCATCTGCCTCCACGACCCGAAAGGAAAAGCAGTCAAGAAAGATGATGGTGGTGGTGGTGGTGGTAGTGGTGGTGATGATGGTGGTGGTGGTGATGATGATGATGATAGTAGTGGTGGTGATGATGATGATAAAATGGATTTATGCCCTATCAATAATGCGGATCGGTACC